AACCACTCTTCCAGTAAAGACATTTTTCCTCACGTCCAATCTAAACCTCCCCTGGCGCAACTTGAGGCCGTTTCCTCTCGTCCTGTCGCTTGTTCCTTGGGAGAAGAGACCGACCCCCACCTCGCTACAACCTCCTTTCAGGTTGTAGACCTCATGGTCTCCAAACTGTAGAGCAGGACTTCCTTGTGCTCGGTGCTGTACGTACCCAAAGAGCAAGAGGCAGCCTCTGTCCTCCACCCTATAGCCCAAGGATGGGGAACAGAGACTCATCCAAATGATTTTGTGACAGTGTCAGGGATGCCTGCTCATTCCAGTTCCTCCCCCATATTTGGTCTGTGGGCAAGCAGAGAGAATGGTGTTTCTGAGGAAGGAAGAAAAAAACCAGGACCTGGCTGTGTCCAGGAACTGAGCTCTGCTGGGGTTACCGGAGGTGCTTCCAGACTTCTCTAAACTCCCAGCCTATGTCAGATGTCTGTGAGCAGAAAAGAGCCTGTGCCTGGACCACGGTTTAGTCTTCTATGGAGATAGCGGAGGGGTTTGGGTTTGTCTTGTGCTGGCCAAGGCTCTGGACAGAGGGATCAAAGCTGAGGCTCTGTTGAGGTGGTAAGGATGCATAGACATTAGGTATCGGGAAGGACCAGGAGGATCCTTTCAATACTTAAAGGGGGCTTATAAGAAACATGGGGACAGACTTTTTAGCAGGGCCTGTAGTGACAGGACAAGGGGGAATGGCTTTAAACTAAAAGAGGGGAGATTCAGACTAGACAGAAGGAAGAAATTGTTTACGCTGAGGGTGGTGAGACACTGGCCCAGGTTGCCCAGAGAGGTGGTGGATGCCCCATCCCTGGAAACATTCCAGGTCAGGCTGGACGGGGCTCTGAGCAACCTGCTCTAGTTGAAGATGTCCCTGCCCATGGCAGGGGGGTTGGACTAGGTGACCTTTAGAGGTCCCTTCCCACCCAAACTGTTCTGTGATTCGATGATTCTATGATCCAGGCAGACATCATGTCCATCTCAGAAGCAACCAGAAGTCCTGATCTTGGCAGAGCAGCTTATCCCATAACTGCTGTTAAAAGTGAAGAGTTTCTCTTGAGAAGGTCTAAGCTCTGGTCTCTTTGGCTATCTCTGGGCAGACCCTGGGAACGCCGCCTTCTGCTGGGAGGCAGGATGGGGACTCCCCTGCCCGGCTGAAGCTGCAGATAATAGATGGGACCAGCGTAACATCCAGAACAATGTGGGAGGTTGATGGGCTGCTGCTGTGCTGGTGACATGATGGACTCTGTCCCCTTCACCAGCGTGTCTGAGGGCCATGGTGGAGAGGAGAGGCCGGGGGCGGGAGCACAGGGCTGATGAATCTCCACCTGCACGTGTTGAGGAGCCCTGAACAGTCAGGGTAGGACTACTTCTGAGGCCAGAGAGGCGTGATGATGGCAGGAGGGAACAGGCAGCTCGTAATTAATGTTGGGATTGCTGGTTGCATTTATCAGCCTAGCCAGTACCAGTAATGGTACTGTATTGGAGTACCGTTAATGGAGTACCAGATGCTCCAGTAATGGAGCATCAAAGCAGTGGGAAGGAGTGAGCGGAGAGCAGCGCGCATGCCGTAAGGGGAAGGGCTGAGTTACATCCCCACGACGGAGAGCCCAGAGTAAATCCAGCTGCAGAATGAGGAGTGCAGGCTGGACCATAAGCAAAATGATATCACTATCGTGGGGCCATTTCTAGTTTTCTTTTATATTTCAGGGGTTTTTTTCATTTGCTTCCTTGACTCACTGCAGAAAACGTAAAAGGGGAAGAAAATAGCTTAAAAAATGAGCGTTGGCATATTTCTGAAGAGTCACTAATTTCTTCCTGTGAAGTTGCTTGATAAGCACTTTCTTTTCAAGACTTTGAATGCAGTCCTGCCACTCCTGCAAGCGATGTAGGGCTCAACCCCGCTGCCTCCGCATCCGGGGCGTCACGTTCCCATCCCGCCGTGCACCGAGAGCAGCTTGGCGATGGGGTGTACTCGGCTTCGGGAGGCCGCAAGAGACCCGTGACTTGGAAAACCGAAGGCAGCTCAGGTGGTTTGGCCTGGCAGACTGACTTCTTGCCTTGGGAAGCAAAAAACCCACAAATGAAAGTGATTTTTATATATACACATATATATTTTTTTGTATATGTATAAATGTAAAACGTGTATATATATAAAATATATATACATATTTATACAATGTGTATTAATATTCATACTATATATATAAAATATTTGGCACCGAGGCACAGTCTTCGTGAATGTGTGCCTTTTTACTGGGAAAAAGTTAGGCTAGCTAGCCTTTTTCCATGGTCGTCTCAGCTCCATCCTCATCACCTCTGCAGCAGCTCCCTGAAACAAGCCTGACATCTCCCTCCCATCCTTTCTCCGCAGACCTTCCGCTGGCCGGTGGCAAGCAATATCGACGGGAATGAGATCCTGGAGATCCAGGTGTTCAACTACAGCAAAGTCTTCACCAACAGGTGAGAGCCTGGTCTGTCCTCCTCTCCCACCGACCCCCCGGGGTCCGCTCCGGCGGGAAGAGGGAGCTCCTGCTTGAGCTGGAGCCACATCCCTGTTTGGTGTGGAGACTGGAGGGTGAGGAAGACGTTGGTGATTGATGTCGCCTGGGAAGGGCAAGGAAGCTCAGATGCAATGTGTGCAGCTCGGTGAGTGAGGTTGCTAGCCACCAGCAACCAGACGGCGGTCAGTGCCATGTCTGTGCCACGGTTTTCCCAAGGTGCTGCCGTTTGGTTCAATACAATTTGTATGTGTTTAAGAGAAACTGAAATCTTTTGGTGAATTATCAAGGTGGAGGTGGATACCTAAACGTAGTTCCCCAGCTTTTGCAAATTCTGCAAGTGTTTGTTTATCTTATTCTTGTAATTTTTTCTCACATGGATACTATGGTGGTTGCCAGGACTTATGGATTATGGGCAATGCTATTTTTTAAGGTTTCTTACAGCCTAAGTTTTGCCCCCACATTAATAATGAACACAAGAGAAGGAAAGTCCCTTCCGTCAGCCTTAGCCTGTTTCATACATTTCTCCACGCTGTCATTGCAAAAATATGGGAGCATTTCACAAAAACATGAGTGGCATACGTGAATTGTCCTACAGAACATTTACACCGACATTAAAGAGGGGAAAGGAAAAAGGGAGCGGAGGAAGGGCTCTTGCTCGTGGCTGGACCTTGCGCTAACATTTTTGCACTGAAATCCAGTGTCTTCCCCAGCTGGAGCTCAGCAGGGTCTCCTGAACATCTCCCAGGCACATGTTCATGCAAAAGCTTCCTTCAGAGCCAAAAAAATGAGGAGACAGACAGACGGCATGTGGGGCAGGCATGCTAAATAGACGTGATTTAAAAAAAAAAAAAAAGACAAAAAACCTGCAAACAAAACAAAAAACCCAAACAACAACCTGAGGAAAAAAATTACCTACCTTTGTCTTGCTTTGAAGTAGGAGCTTGAGCAGCAGAAGGAGAGCTGAAGAAACTTGTTTTCTTCAGTTGGTCTCTGGGAAGAGAAAGGCAAGGAGCCCCCAGAGGATCCCAGCCCAGGTGGATGAGCTGGGTGGGGAA